AATTGATAATACAACAGTTTTACCCGTTTCATTCCCAAAGTTTGATAATTTCCTGCTCCACCTCCATTCTCAATTCTTGACACACAAAACTGATAGCCATTATGAACCCATATTGGAATTGCAAAAGAGAGGCATGCTAGATGAAATACATGTTACAATTCACTCAAAAAAGAATTAATAGTAATATTTGAGGAAACAAGACGTCACAAGGCATAAAACAATGGTATCCGAGCACATTACCATTTGCAAAAATAATATTAATAAATGCAAAATAAATGAATAGATATGCATGTCCATGGGAGCGGAGCACCTGGCTGGCTCCTGGCTAAAACCAGAGGCAAGCCAGGAAGGAGCAACTTTGGTCCATTTGCAAAAAGATAAATAAATGTGGGCAAGTGAGAATGCATGGCTGGACTTCTTCAGTATTTGCAACAATAAGCATCATGGGTAATACTAACCCTAATGGAAGGGATTAAAATGCAATTGTAGCCACAAAATGAGACATAGTTGTTACATACCAGATGCAATCTTTACCCGATACTATCTTTACAAAATAACCACTAAATGCAAAAAAAGACTGACGCAGATACTTCAAGATTAAAATTTTATTACAAAATTATTATTGAATTGTAGATTACTTCACTCCAAAACTGATCAAAATGGATCACTAGCACTTTGGAATTGTTCATACTTACATGGTATTAAAAAGAAAGAAAACCATAGAGCATGTTGAACGTATATCTAAGTTATTACCAACAATAATTGATTCATCTAAAGAGTTATCTATATATATCACGTTCTTCACATGTATAAGTCATAATGGATATATATTGTCAGTTCCCTTATTATGATGATGGTGATGACGATGATGATGATGATGATGATGATGATGACAAAATAATAATAATAGTGATATGAATTGTAATAGTAATAGTGATAATAATAATAATAATAATAATAATAATAATAATAAATACTCTCTCCATCCCTAGCTACGTTTTTGCCTGTTCTTGGCACAATTATTACAAAAGTGGTGTGTTGAGATTTATTTAGAAAGAGGGAAAAATTATAACCCATTTTTTAGCACTATTAAGTTTGCTACAATGTAGTATTTGTGCAATGTACTGAAAAACATAGAGTCAATTCCCCCACACGGGTCCAATTTGGGAGAGCCACAATGATGTCACTGGAGCACGGGGTTTTTTGCCCGACCAACACAATTGTTTTCATAAAGGGTAATGGGAGAACAATTTCAAAAACTAGGAAGCCATATGAAACAGCACCGCAGTTTTTTGACATTTAAATTGGATGTCATATTCTGGCATTGAGTACCTACAGTGTTCCTATCAAAAAGTTGATGGTCCCTAGCCCCTAGAAACACCCCCCCCCCCCCGGTTTGGCCCAGCCCTAATGCACTCCTCCTAATTGCACCCCTAAGTTTTTGCTTTGGAGTCAAAAATGAACGCAAAGTCAACATAATTTAGGAGTGCAATTTGCAGGGGTGCATAAGGGCCAGGCCAGACGGAGTGTCGGGGGTTGGAACCATCAAATGTTTTTATTGAAGTGCACCCAAATTGCCTCAATTGAA